GCTGTTGGTGGTGAGTTCGGTGTGAATGAATCAACAACATATATTAAACAGGGTGTCTTTCAACAGTCACACACATAAAACAAGCTTATGTATCGGTGCGTTGATGAAAATGTGACCAGAGAGGTTCACAGGAACCCAACCCTGTATTTCCCCTAAGAGCAACGGTCCAATATTTGCTAATTCAGTGTTTACAGTGACTTTCTAGAATATCATTACAGCAAATAATGAGATTGACTGTACTTTCAGGGATTTGGTATTTTATGTATGAAAACAATATCTGGGAGGCATTGCAGCGAGCTCCAGTTACCATTAACATTGCTGTGTGACAAATTACCCCACAAGTTGGTGTCTTAAAACCACCATTTTCTTATGCTCACGGATTCTGTAGTTCGGGATTCAGAATGGGCACAGCAGCGAAGGCTTGTCACTGCTCCACGATGTCTGGGGCTTCCACTGGGAACACTCAAGAGTCGGGGGGACCAAGGGCTGGGGCTGGAATCATGGGAAAGCATCTTCACTCACATATCTGTTCCTTGAGCTGGGGGACTGAAAGAGTAGGACTGCTAATCGGAAGCACTTGCCCGTGGCCTCTTGAGTGGCCTGGCTTCCTCACAGGACGGCGGCCTCAGGGCATCAAACTTGTTCCGTGGCAACTCTGAGCTCCAAGCAGGAGGGTTCCAGCGAACAAGGCAGGAGCCGCGTCATCTTTTATGACCAGCTTCAGAAGTCACACAGGGGCACTTCTGTCAAGTTCAATTGGTAAAAGCAGCCACAAGCCTGCTCAGACTCAAAGGGACAGGGCCCAGACCCCACCCAGATCTTGATGGGAAGAGCGGAGGTCATGTTTTTAAACCATCACAACTGTTAACACAGACCTAAGAAAATGAGAGACCCAAGTCCAAATCTTGACTCTGTCACTCTCCTAGCTAGGTGACCCTGGATGAGCTTCTTAACTCCTCAGGACTCAATGTCCCCTTCCGTAACGTGATGATAATTACAGCACCCAGTGTCTACGATGGTGAGAATGACATGAGACACTGGGTGTAAAGCAGTTAGTTCAGTGCCTGGCACACAGTATGCTGTAGACGGTCATGGCGTGAACGTTATTCATTGTGAGACCTGGATGTATTGATCATGGCTTGCATTTGGCTACATGTAACTGAAACCTAATATAGTGCCTTTACCAAATCAGAGTATTTTTTTTATTTTTTTCAAGAGGCTGGGGACTACTGTCACTGCTCAAAGAAATCATCGAGGATCCAAATACTCTGGCTTTTCATTCAGCCATCCTTAGCATGTGACTGTTGTCTTCATCGCTCAAATTGGCTGCTATACCTCCAAGAATTGCATCTCCATTCCAGGCAGGAAGAAGGTGAAGGGTAAAAGGCAAAAGCCTTCTCAGGAGACCTTGTCATCTCATTTGGGGAAGCAGGCCCTCCCTAGGAACTTCTATTTTCATCCCATTGGCTAGAATGAGCCACATGGCCACTCCTGGCTGCAAGGAAGGCTGAGAAGAGGAGCATTTATAGCGAGGCCCACTGCTGCCCTAGACAAATCAGGGTTGATAAGGAGGAGGGACGGATATTGTATAGGCAGATAGCAGCGTCTGCATGCCAACCCAGGAGAGCGACCCACAAATGCACCTGTTGTGCCAACACTGTCATTGGCCACAGAGGATAGAGTGAAACAATTTCATCATGGGGCGCCCTTATTTAAGGTAACTGAGATTCCCTAAACTTGATCCAGGCCACCTCCCTCAGGAAGCTTTCCCAGATTTCTCTGTCTCTAATCTCACTCTTGCTCTGAAATCCTATTCTCTTAGGCTGGACTACCAAAGCTGGAACTGGGGGTAATACAGTCTGCCAAGGTCAGAGTTCCCTGCACTCCCCATACTGTGTAGCCTGCAGGGGAAAGGAGAACTGCCCATGGGCATAGTCGGCAGCTGAGCTTGGGTTGGGGCCTGGGTACCTGACACTCACCTTGAGGATTTTCAACAGGACTCCTTGAGTTTTCAAAGCACTCCTTAAATGATGGTTTTATTTAACATCATCTTGATCTTCTACGTCACCTTGGTGACTCTATCACACCTGGAACTTGTGTCAGGGTAACCTGAGCCAGATGGGTACCTGGACAGGATAAATAATTTAGCACTTCCTTCAACTTGATAGTCTTTAAGGATCAGCCCAACATTTCCTTAGAGGTACAGCGCTGACGGAGGGCACACACGGCAGCGTCAGCCTCCTCTCTATTTTTGAGCAATTCCATTCTGGCTTCAAACTTGCATCCACTACCCATCAAAACCAGAGCTCTGCAACTAACTAGGCCCACTGTCTCTGGAGCAGAGTTTTGTGAGCATCTGGGCTTAAACTACCTTGGGGAAGGGTCCTTCCCTCTCATCTCCACCAGAAGCAACTTATCAAAGAATTTCTGTCCACTTGCTAGCTTTGGCAAATTACTTAACCTTTCTGTCCCTTAGTCTACTTATCTGTAAAATGGGAATATTAGTAGTACTTAGCTCATGAGGCTATAACTGAGGATTAAATGAGAAAGTGCTTAGAAGAGTGCCTGGCATATAGTAACCCCTCAATAATATTATCATTTCAATATATGAGGTCCCTGTGTAAGTGGGCTGAGAATGTGGCAGGACCCCCTCCCCACTCCCAGCGACAAGGCCTAGAACAGAGTCAACACTGCTCAGCCCTTTCCTAGGCGGTGGCTGGGGCCAGCCCCTAACAACGATAGCACAGACTCCTCTCAGGTATTCAGCACTCGCCATGTGCCAGACCCAGTTTTGTTGGCATAAACTCACAGAACCATCACCAGCCCTGGGAATGGGTACTATTTTTATCCCCAGTTTTCAGAGCAGGAAACTGAGACTCCAGGAGGCAGCAAACCTTGGAACTGGAGCTGGGTCTCTCTGATGCCTGGCTTGCTCCCACTACATTGTCCTGAAATTCTTTGTTTACGGCTTGCTTTCCCCTCTTGGCTGCAGGAGGCACGCCTCAGTCTCATTCATGGTTTTATTATACTCCCAGGTTCCCATGTGTCTAAACCTGCCTAAGGAGCGAATGAATGAATGAGCCTACCAGGCAAGCCCCTGCTCCGCCTTCCGGGCCCAGATCACACGCTGTTTGGCATCTCCAGGGCAAGCTGGAATTGGGAGGGGGCTGGACAGAGGAATTTCCAGCCTCTGGAGGGTCAGGAGCAGAGGGTAGGGGGAGAAAGGGGAGAAAGCGAAAGTGAAGGGAGCCGGGAGCCCCTGTGAGGAGGCGCAGACAGGGAAGGAAATCTCCCGGGTAATAATTCATCGCTCAGGAAGCAGCAGCCTGGCCTGGGGCTGTGTGTGGGACTGGCCAGGCGGGGAGGGGGCTGTGCAGGCTGCTTCTCCTCCTTCCCAAAGCCCAGCCTGGCCAGGGTCACGGTCAAATGATGGAGGGGGTGGGGATCCAGGTGCGAGAACAGATGCTCCCGAATACCATGGGTCCTGAAGACTTAAGGGGCTCCTCTCCCAACAGCTACAGGAAACCCCTCAATCCCTCTCCACGCTGCCCCCCCAATCTGGCCTGGGTCAGTGAAGCCTGGAAAGCACAGCATGGCAGAGCCAGGAGGCATCTTCAAGAAAGCTGAGGCCCAAAGGAGCCAAAATGTACCTAGAAGCCTTTCAGCTCCACTCTCTGTGCTCTCTCTGCTGCACTGGCTTACATTTGGGCTGAAGAGAGAAGGCCAAGTGGATGTTGGCTTAGCTGGTGCCCCGGATGGAGCTGGGAAGCAGGCCTGAGTGAGATGGGGTCCCTAGCAGCCATCATCAGCTCAGCGATTCTTCCCAGTGCCTCTGAGGAGAAGGACGTAACAGCCTGAGCAATCTAAGGTTTCTGGAAGGAAGGAAGGCATTGAGGAAAGACAGCCTGTGTGTGCTGATGTGGGGGGTGGGAGGTGAGAGTCTAAGAGGTAGTGAAGCCAGCTAGGCTGGGGCTAGCACCCCCATTCCCCACCCATCACACTGAAGGTCAGAGCTCCCTTACCTGTGAGTCAGGGGAATTGTCTTACAACCTCTGCTGGGCACAGTAAAGTACCCAGCACAGGGGTCTGGCACCCAGTAGGACCTCAATCAAAATGCCAGCTCTGTGAGCACAGAGAGTTTGTTTTGTTTACGTCTGTATCCTCAGACCTAAAACCATGCCTGACACATAGTAGGGACCCAACAAATACTTGCTGAACGAATAAACAAATGAATGGAACTACTAGTATTTGCATGTTTTGGTTTTGTTTGGCTTTGTGGTGTGTGTGTGTGTGTGTGTGTGTGTGTGTGTGTGTGTGTGTTTAAGTTTGTCCTTAGGGACGTGGGACTGTCGAATCCTTATTTGGAAAGATTATAGCGTTTCTCCAAGCGTCCTCCATGGACAGCACCACTGTCACCATCTGTTTGTGCAAAATGTGGATTCCTGGGCTCCATTCCAAAAATGCCGAATCAGCACGGAGGCAACCTGGAAATCGGTAATGGCAAAGCTCCTTCCCCAATTCTTATGCACATGAAAGTTGCACAATGACAGGATTAGAATTCGACAGCAGGAAGCCTTGGGCTCGTTTCTCTGCCATCCACGTTCCGAACCAGAAAACTAAGGCCAAGAGAGAAGGTACCTGCCCACGGTCTCCAAGGTGGTCTAGGCTGAGGCTCGAAGTTCGGTTCTGGGCGCGCCCAGCCCGCCCTCCCAGACCTCCGGCGTTCGCCGGCTCGACAGCAGGGACTGAGAGCCTTCGGGGTGGGCCACCAGCTCCCGGGCCGCTTTCAACCTGGGGAACGGGGGCGGTGGGCGCGTCGCCATTGGCCGGGGCGCGGCGAGTGCGTCCCCATTGGCCGATCGGAGCCCCCCGCCCCCGGCCTGGGCGGCCTCGTGATTGGTCCCTCCCTCGGCTATAAGGCGGCGGCCCGCTGGGCCGTGGGAGCGCGCGGGAGCACACGGCTGGGCGCGGCTAACGGAGGGCTCCGAGCCCGCAGGGACATGGCGTTCGCGCTGCTGCGCCCCGTCGGCGCGCACGTGCTGTACCCGGACGTGCGGCTGCTGAGCGAGGATGAGGAGAACCGCAGCGAGAGCGACGCGTCGGACCAGTCGTTCGGCTGCTGCGAGGGCCTGGAGGCGGCGCGGCGCGGCCCGGGCCCCGGGGGCGGGCGGCGGGCGGGCGGCGGCCCGGGCCCCGTGGTGGTGGTGCGACAGCGGCAGGCGGCCAACGCGCGGGAGCGGGACCGCACGCAGAGCGTGAACACGGCCTTCGTCGCGCTGCGCACGCTCATCCCCACCGAGCCGGTGGACCGAAAGCTGTCTAAGATCGAGACACTGCGCCTTGCGTCCAGCTACATCGCACACCTCGCCAACGTGCTGCTGCTGGGCGACGCGGCCGACGACGGGCAGCCGTGCTTCCGTGCGGCCGGCAGTGCCAAGAGCGCCGTCCCCGCCGCCGCTGCCGCCGACGGCGGCCGCCAGCCGCGCTCCATCTGCACCTTCTGCCTCAGCAACCAGCGCAAGGGGGTGAGTGCCCTGCGCGCCCGGCTGCGGCCGCGGAGTCGGGTCGGCCGGGAACGGCGCCTCTGGGGTACCAAAGAGAGGCAGAGGCCTCAGTGAGGCGAGGGCGAAGCGCGGTGGAATTAGTGGTGGGGGCGGCGCCCCAAGCCCAGGGTTTGGTGTGGAACAGAGCCACCTGCTTCATGCCCCCCAAACAGAAGTGATGCAGGGAAGCTCAGAGCTGGGGTCCGATTTACTTGCTCACCGAGGGGTACTCCCTCCAGCCACAGGTGTGCTGTGCCTCCTGCCTCCGTGCAAGAGGGCATGAGGACAGAACAACAAAGGCCATCATGAACTGAGCTCTTCCTCTGTGCTCCATGCCCGCCTCAGCCTCATTTTTACCTTCACAAAAATCCTGTCCAGCAGGTAGTTTTTCTGCCCGTTTTGTCACTGACGAGGATCTGAGGCTCAGAGGGCTGAGATCACATGTCCACATTCACTCGGCTAGGGAGCCGGGATGCAGGCTCTGGGCTCGCTGGGTGTGCGTTGCCCCGAGCGACCCCCACCTTGAAAAAATTGCCCCCCATCCTAAGACCTGACCCAAGAGCAGGAGACTGAGAAGAAAGGGGGACACATACCCCCAACCAAGAGCCTGCAGTACCCAGTAGATGAGGGTCCCCTGAGAGCACGCAGCCCCCAAAGGGATGTGGTGGTGGGAGAGGGCACTCTGGTGTCAGCTGAAATGAGCTGGAGCTAAGCTCCTGTGGTGCTTCCTGGGTAAGGATGTGAACCCGGCTGGTAGGGGATGGGTGGGCGCTGGGTACAGCACAGGTTGCCAGGGGCCCTCTTGGCTGAAAGTTGACCCATGTCCCAAGGAGCCCGCTTCATCTTCAGCCTGTCCCTCTTTCTGGCATAGGCTTTGCCTAGTAAAGGAACCTGTATGTTTGACAACTTTGGATTCCAGCAGCTTCCCCCATTTACATCTGGGGGAACTGAGGCTGGGAGAGTCCTGCCTGGCTTTTGGGGGCCAAATGAAAGGGCATGGGGAATGGGAGTCAGGGCCCCGACTCCCGGGTCTTTGGTTCTCATGGCTGCCCTCGGTTTCTTGCTTTAACCTGTTCTGGGGAGGCCTTAGTGTCCTGGCCTCAGACCATCCCCTTCTGGCTCGTCAGACTCCCAGCCTGGCTTCTCACCACTTGGCTGCCTCCGTTTCCCTGAATCAGTCTTCTTGGCCTCAGACTAGTGTCTTCTCAAGGGTCCCTGCTGCTCCTAGCTGTGGGCCCCGCTCAGTGCCCCAGGCTGGCCTGGGAAGCAGGGGTGGGCCTTCAGGCATCCAGCCTGGGGTGTGAAGGGCTGACGGGGCCCTTGGTGACACTCCCTGACCGCCTTTCACCCCTCATTCAGTTCAGCAACCCTTAACTACCTAGCAGCTGCCTTCTGCTGGCTCTGAGAACACCCAGAGAAGCATGTTGTGGATCCCCACCCACCGGTCCGGAACTCACAGTGCAGCATCAGGGCCAGGCCGGGGGAGGCAGACAGGGATACTGTGGTCCGTTGGTGGGGCAGGGGGAGCACAAAGGGATGGTCAGAGCCCAGGGGAAGCCCGGAGCCCAAGTGAGCACTGACGGGGCTTCTGTGCTTAGTTTCTGAAGGATGCTTGGGAACAGAGGCAGGCGAGGGGTGTAGGGAAGAGTGTTCTGGAAGCAGGCACAGTAATAACGGGGCCTAGAGAAGGATGAGGTAAGAAGTTAAAGGTGGCAGAGCACAGAGGGGAGGCAGAGATTGGCCAATGACATTGATGACAACATCTTCATGAACATTGATCTGTGCTATGCACTGTCACCAGTTATCATGAAAATCCCTCAACAGCCAGGGGAAAAGGCGCTATGGTTATCCCCACCTGCTTAGAGATGCTGCCACTGGTTCAGACACAGCCAATGATGGAGCCGGGATTCAAGCTCAGGCCTGCCTGATTGGGCAGTGGGAAAGGTTAGAGAGGGAGGGCCCTGTAACTGTCACATACCCACCCCCACTGCAGACAGGCAGGGAGGGGGCTCCCCTGCACGTCTGGGACCTGTCGCACAGCTCACAGGGGCCTCGCCTGGGCCTGGCTGCTTCCCTGGGATCTGTCTGTGTGACCAAGAACCCAGCCAAATTTGGTGCAGAAACCATGCTGTCAACTCCACAGCCTCCTCTGGGAATCAGAGAGAGGGGTGATCCTGGCCAGCTGTGGCCCCTCAGAGACTCGGCTGGAAGAAAATAAAATTGGCTGTCTTGGGGAGCCCCTGCTCCCTTCTGAGCTTTGGGGGCCAGAGAGCTCCAAAGCCCCAGATCCTATCCCTTCACCCTGAGCTCCCACCTGCCTCCCATCCTGGCTGGTCTGGAGTTGGGGTCGCCATGGAAGCAGTTCCCTGTACCATGTTCCCATTTAAGGAGGGGTTAGGTGTGGCCCTCTGTGGTAGAAATAGCAAGCGGAAGATGGAACGAGGGCTCTTGTCTCTGCCCTGTTTTCCCTTTTTTTACCTGGTGGGGCGAGGGGGTGGACAGGGTCATCTTGTAAGGCTCTCCCCTGTGGGTGTACCCGGCTCTGGAGGCACCATTACCAAATGATGCTGATAATATTAATAATACTTGTGAACATTTATTGAATACTTACTTTGTTCTTGACACTGTGCTAAGGGCTTTACCTATGTTCATTTGCATAATCCTGTATCATCTTGTGTAAACTGTGTTAGCTCGTGTCATTCTGTAAAGTAACTCCCCTTTACGGGAGGGGAAACTGAGGCTCAGTGAGATAAAATCGCTTGCCTGAGGTCTAGCAGGTGGCCCATGGCAGAGCAGAGATTGGAGCCTAGGTCTGTCTTAGTTGAGCGCAGTTCCTAACCATGGCGCTTCCTAAGACCCTTGGCGCTGAGTTCCTAAGGAACAAGCAAACGGGGGCCTAGTCAGGTCCTCTTCTAAGCACCCTTGACAGTTTACACAGCTGCATTCACATTTGACTGCACCTCGGGGGTGGCAAGAAGAATCATTTTGTCCCCATTTCATTGATGAAGAAACTGAGGTTCAGGGAGGTGGACAGTCCCAGCATTCTCAAGGGACCCAGGTCTCCGGATGGCCTCCAGACTTGGAGCAGGAGGTGGCTCTCCCTGGCCCTGAGGACTCACAGACTGAAAGGGGGGAAGCCAATGTTCTATCCCTCAGCCTCAACACTACCCCCACCCCCGCTTCTGTCCCCCCTTCTCAGCCGCTCCTGCCAGACTTTGTCTGAGAAGCCTGAGCCCCGGGCTCTGCTGGGACTGTGGCCTCAGCCCTCAAAATAGCCCTGCCTGTGAATGAACATGCTGTCCCCGGGCCGTGAGAGCCTCGAGGGAGGCTGGGCTAGCATCTGGATGGATCTGCCCCAACCTGGGTGCGGGGGCGGAGGGAGGCAGGGGGCAGAGCTCCCAGATGGTCAGCTGTTTCTGTAGATGGGCTGAGAAAGCGGCCTTTTCCATCATCATCTAGCTGGGCCCAGGGCAATAAGCATTTGCAGTGGGATTTCAGACACCTTTGTGTCCCCAGAACAGAACCTCTTGTTGGACAACGTGGATTTCTAGCCCAGCTCTTTCACCAACTGGCTGGGTGCCTCTGGGCCAGTCACTCGAAGACCGGAGGCCTCAAAAGGGGGAGTGCTCTGAAGTGTGTGGCCTCTCTGGCTTACAGGGAAGGTGAAACCCACATATCCAACCTGAAAATATCCATGAGAGGGGCTAGAAGAGACCACCCCTATAGGGTGAGGGACTGGTGTCTTCAGGGACTGCCACCGTTAGCTCATCTTCCAATGGCCACCACTTGATTCAAGCAGCATTGATTGGCACCTGCTCCAAGCCAGGTCCTAGGCTGGAAGCGGGGCCACCGAGTGGAGAACTCCTTTTCTCTACCACTCCCTGAGCTCCTAGCTCAGATAGGGGAACAGAAGAGAGACCCCGCCTTCTCCTGAGTTGTATCCTGGTGGAATGTCCCCAGAAAAGCAGGAAGTGCCAGGCAATTTCAGAAATAGAGAAACCTTCCCAGGGAGACAAGGCGTGGGAGTATTTGCCTGGCAAAGGGGACACCATGAGTGAAGGCCAGGAGGCCAGAAACCCAGTCTACTTCTGAAGGTGGATGAGTTGTCCACCGCTATGTGGTCAGGCAGTGGGGAGAACCACCGGGAGGTTGGTTTCGCCCTTGAATGTGCTTTAAAATGTATTAGATTTTTTTAAAAAACAACAGATCACATGGGGAAGAAATGAAAAAGGTAAAAAATATATATATAATGTGAGAGAGCCTCCCTCCCATCCTGTGTCCCCATCATCAAATTCCTCTCTGAGGAAACCCATTAGCAATTTCCCATGTGCACGTCTCTCTAGAACTCTCGGCACAGAGGAGCATTCACGCGGGCTGCCCCTTGCTTTTGTCCTTAAACAATGTCATCGGACAGCATTCCCTACAAGTCCATAAAGAGTTTCTTCCGCTTTCTGTTGCAGAGAACCTCATTGTGTGGCTAAACTGTGATTTATTTATCAAGTCCCCTATTGTTGGACACAGAGGTTGGTTCCAGTGTTCATGTTGACCTGATTGAACCTCCTAACACCTCTTTCTCCCTTCCTGCAGGGTGGCCGTCGTGACCTGGGGGGCAGCTGCTTGAAGGTGAGGGGGGTGGCCCCCCTTCGAGGGCCACGGAGATGAATCTGGGCCCCTGTGGCATTTGCTCCAAGCAGGACCCTGGAGAAGGAGACCAGGAGCCAGCCACTGGCTGCACAGGGGAGAAGACCCCAGGAGCTGAGCCCACCTTTCTTTATGTAGGGACCAGGGGACAATGGCCTGGGCCCAGGACCCTCTGGGCAGGGCCTCTGGGACATCTCCACCCCACCCTGGAGAGCTGTGAGGACCCATCCAGCCTGCCCAGCACTGGCTGGTCAGAGACAAGGCAGAACTTTTGGAAAAACAAAGACTGTTGGTGACAGAGAGTATGTGCGTGTGTGTGCATGAGTGTGGGTGTTTGTGCGTGAGAGAGAATTGGTGAGTTTAAAATAAAAGGTATTTTTAAATAAAAGGCATCATTCCCAGCTAAGGAAGGGAAGGGCCTGTCGACACTGGGGGTCAGAGATGTCCCCTCCGCTGCACCTAGAGAGAAGCTCGTGTTACAGGTGCTGCCCTGAGCCCTGGAGGGATGGGGCTGGGGCAGGCAGGTGGAGCCCCCTCTCCGGAAGGAGGGAAGGAGAGAGAACCAAGCTTGCCTCACAGTCTGCCAGTGATCAAATGTTCTTGAACAACTGTTAGGTGTCTGCTGTGGTTGGTAAAGAAATCTTAATTTTATTTATTTTTGAATAAGGACTATATTCATTTCATTCACATGGCTCAAAATTCAAGAGGTACAAGGGGATATATGGTGAAAAGTCCCCTCGCCCCTGGGCTGCAGCCATCGGCTCCCCCCTGCAGACAGCCTTGGCCACCAGGGTTCTGTGATGTCCCATTGCTTACGAATAATCGAGCAAATACACAAGAGACAGCACATTGCACACGCTTTCTGCTCCCTCCTTTTTCTTTTCTTAATCTAGCTCGGTATCATCCCAAATCAGTACCTAAAGGGCATCCTCATTTCTTCATTAGCTTCTTATTATTCCACTTTATGAGTGTGCTGTGCTTTAATCCGTCCTCGTCGATGCCATCACAAACAAGCCTGTGCACCAGGCCGCGTAGGCATGCAGTTTTCCCCACGTGCCGACAAGTATATGCTAACGGGGAATATTCTTATCCCTGTTTTAGCTGAGATTTGGAGGACCAATGACACCCACGGGCATGTGGCAGGGTGACACCCTGACGTCTGTCCTCTTTAAAGCCCAAAGCAGCTCTTTGCCCTGCCCTGGAGGTGCCCCAGGTGGAACGCCAGCCCCCGTTACCCTGATTATACTCCCAGCAGCTCTGGGGACTGGAGTCTCCCTCATTTTACAGATTCAGCCGACGTGGGGATGGGGACAGCTGGTCAGCAGAGCCAGGAGTTCTTGGCTGTGTCTGGCTGTGGCTGTGTCCCTGCGAGGCCAGGGTCAGAGGAGCTTGGGACCCTGGAGGGAGGGAGAGGCGAGGAGAGATGAGAACAGCCAGTAGCCGCCCTTTCCCTGGCAAGGTATGTTCATATGCCCACTTCAGAATTTTATTTGTTTAACAACCACTTATTTAGCTTTCACTCACTGAAGTCTGGCTCCAGAGTCCACGTTCCTATCCCTCTGCTGTGCCCCCACCCACCCCTGCACATTTGACCCTCTAACTGAGGCTGCCCATTTTGCAAATCAGCAAACAAATTGCCAGGCACCCTCTGTGAGCCAGGTGCTGTGCCGGATGCCACAGTGTGAGCCTGACCCACCTGATCTTACAGACGAAAATGGAGACCCAGGGAGCACGAGGGGGTTGCCCAGATTGCCGGTCTCGCATTGGAGAACACCATGAAACCACCACACTTAGCCCCTTTGGTATGAGAAGTGGAGGAAGGACGGTCCCAAGGGGCCAGGGTCCCGCCCAGAGAGCTTTCCAAGCGCCCTCTCCCTCACTTCCCCCGTGTTCCAGGGACACTGGTCGTGCCTATCCTGTGTCCCAGCGTGGCTGCGCTTCCCCCTTCGGGAGCTGATTAGGAAAGCACATTGCTTTCCCTGCGCCTACCCTGGTCCAGGTACAGGCAGCCTCTGGCAAAGCCACAGGAAAAAGACTGTGGCCTTGTCAATGGCAGGAAGCCTGGGAGTGGGGGCAGAGCAGACACTTGGGTGGTCGGGCTGGAGGCCCACTCTGCCACCAGGCTTGCTGGGTCACCCTGAGATACCGCTTGACCTCTCTGGGCCTCCCTGGCCCAATCTCTAACTGCTGAAAGCAGCTAGAACAGAAGGATATGTATTTGTTTTGCTTCGTTAAATAGTTTTTAACAGACCATTCGTGCATGGGTAAGTAATTCAAGTCGCATCCAATAGTACGCAGTGAAAAGTACATACCTCCTGCAGGCTCCGCCCCAAAGGCAACTGCTGTTAGCAGTTTCCTGTGTCCTTCCAGAAAGGCTCTGTCGTGATTACTATTTCTGAAAAAAAATATTTATACGTTTCTCTTCTTATGTTTTCATTGTAAAAAGAATTCAAAATGCTACAAGACCCTAGAAATATCACCCATCCCAAAGATAACCACCATTAACGCTGTAACCCTGCAGAGTGTTAAACACACACTTCCACATACATGTCCACAGTCCTTTACAGCACACTAAGTTAAAACTTTTTATCAAAGTATAACACGCATTCAGGAAAGCGCACAGCTCAATGAATTTTCACAAGCTGAGCGCTCCCGGGCACCCAGCAGGCAGACCCAGAAATGCAATTAGCAGCTTCCCAGGAGCTAGCTGCTCTTGTACTTCTATCCATACTGGGTTCTTTCCATTGTATTTCCTTTGAAATAGACAACACAGTCTTCACCATTCAAAAGACAAAAAAAGAAAATAAACTGGCAATAAGTCTATTCTCTCCCAGCCACTCGGTTCCAGTTCTCAGAGGCAGTTACTACGTTAGTTAATCAGGGTCTTGGGGATTCCTGTGGAGGTGGTCTGCGTATGTAGGCAAGTTACATAGAGATCGTTTTTCCACACAGGTGATAGCATTCTATACACTTTTCTCTGCACTTATATTTTTTTCTCCTTAGCAATAGTTCTTGGAGGCCCTCGGTGTTCAAAGAGCTGTTGCATACCTTTTCACGGCTGCCTAGTGCTCCATTACGCGTATTTTGTAGCTTGCTGTCTTCCTGGGCAATGGAGAGTTAATGCCCATGGGGCTTTCTGAGCTGCAAGGCCAGTGCAACACACGTGACTTAAGCACAGCCGTGGACCGAGACCTCTGGGGCCATTTTCCTAACATTGCCCATCCTGCAGCGCACACACTCCACCTCCAGGATGGTCCAGCCCAGCCAGACTTCTCCAGGCCAGCTTGGGGCCAGAGGAGTAAACTTGCTCAGGGAGAAGAAATCGAGGGCTGAAGCCAGTGGAATGACCAACCTCAGCCAGGTCACCTTGGACCCTGACACACTCTCCACCCAAATCTTCTTAGCTGCAAGATACGTCAGCACAAGAACAATGTCAGAGTCCATCATTTCATAATAAAGAAACGGAGATGAGACAGAGCAAGCAACCTGCCTGAGGTCCTACTGGGCCCAACAAGTCCCAGGTCCTACTGGGCCACCAGGAACCCAGGTCTCGCTCTTTGCCATGCTGGACTCTCTAATTCCACAGTTACACATGGGAGAGCCTCAGAGGTCACCCATGGCCCAGAGAGGAACAGTGATGGGCCATGGTTGCACAGCATTTGGAGCTGAGCAGGGCTGAGAACACAGGGCCCCTTCCTCCAGCCCAGGGTGCCCACACCACTTTAGGTTCCCTCATCAGCTCAGGCCACTTCCATTTTATGAGGCTTTTGTTAGTTTAAAAACCAAAACACCACAAAACAGAATTCTGAAAACTGTGGCATATTTGGCAAGTTAACTCTCAACTACCTCCGCACACTCACAAACACAATGCATTATTGTGAGGACATTACATAAGTAGAGGATTTGCAGAAACATCAATTCATGGGATGAACATATAAAGTTGAATGTCTTCATTCAACCCCATCTGCGTCTCTTGCTACTGTATAACCTCACGTGGTTGTGATATCAAAAGTCTAGACCTGGACAGCTAAACACAATACACGACCTTGAACTGGATCCTGTACCGAGGGGAAAACCTGAACTAGATCCTGCCACAGAGGACCTTATTGGTGCAGTTGACAAAATTGAAAAATCAGAAGATGAACAATAGATTAAAGTACTGTACCACAGTTAAATTTTCTGAATTTGCTAACAGTGCCATGGTTATGTAAGAGGATATCCTTGCGCTTAAGAAACACACCCTGGAGTATTATAAGGGACAGGGAAGTATGATGTAGGTAACACAGTCTCAGATGGTTCAGAAAAAATAACGTGTATGTAAAAGAGAAGGATAAGGCAAGCTTGGCAAACTTAAAATTTGGTGAATCCGGGGAAAGGATATATGGGAGTTCTCTGCACCACTTTCATCACTTCTCTGTATACTTGTAAATTATCGCAGAATTAAAAGTTAAAAAGAAGTCAGGATATTGGCCCGCTATGATATGAGCACTGTCAAACGGTCTCCCGGCCCCCTCTGACCCACCCTGGGTGTAGCTCGTCCAACATAGGATGGAAAACACTCCCAGTGGACCCAGGTGTCCCTGCCCGTGACACTTAGGCCCCTGTGCCCCTCAAGAGGCTAATGTGGTCCCAGCCTCCGAGCCTCTGGCCACCTTGATTTATGTGCCCGTGAGCCTCAGCAGCTGTGAGCACAGGTCCCACTGGGCGGCCGGCTGTGGGGGTGGGGGGGGCAGTGTTTGCTTCTCAGCGTGTCTAATCCAGACCAGACTTGCAGACCCCACAGGCCTGGGATAGGGTTCCCAGGGGGCCGGGGTCAGAGGGCAGGCCAGCAGGGCCTGGAAACGAAGGGGGCACTGAGGGCGAGCCGGCTGGAAGGCAGGAAACCTAGCCACTGCTTCTGTGTGACCTTGGGTGGGTATATGCCCCTCTCTGGGCCTCGCTCTTCCTCATCTCAGAAGAGCCTGCACAGAGTAGGCCAGAAGGGTTTTGTCGCTTGAGATGAACTGGCCTTACGGGAGGGA